CAAATTCTAATTATATGTCAAAGAAAAATAGATTAATAGCTTTTGTATCCAAAAATTTCTTTCTTTCATACCCTTCTGTGACTTCCTCACACCTTCAGCAACTTACTTAAACATTTCTATCTATTCCATTTCAGTCTAAAGTGAACTAGCCATCAGAATAAAGTCATTCTTACAAACCATGTCCTTTCAAAAAAAAAAAAGTCTTTCCTTCTTAACCTTCCTTGCCAAGAACACGTTAAGAACATGTTTTATTTGTAAGCTTTTTCCATCTGCTGATTTCCTTGATTTACATTTTGAAATAACCATTTAAAATCTGCAACTTAAGACAACATTTTCTTAATAAGATAATACATCAGATTTCAACTTTAGTTACTTTCAAACACTGTTAAACTATTTTTGATATAGACAGTTTATGAAAACATATGGTAACAAACCCAAATAGTTTTTCCATAGGGTGCTAAGAGTACCAGAGTTTACATTTAGACACAATTAGCTCATTTGCCTTTACCCAATTTACATTTAGCAATTACACCTAGATGACTTAAGATGCTAATATTATATCACACATTTATCTGAATTAAAGTCAAAATTACATTAACATGGCATTCTAGTCCATTTTATAAAATTCTAGCTATGAGTCAGTGATATTAAACCAGAGATTGGAAAAATCCACCTTAGGAGGCTATAATAAGTGCTGATTACCCACTGCTATTTCATCAGAAACTTGTTATTTTTTTAAAGGCAATGATCTTTCTAGATTCAGAAGAGAAAAATTCTTTTAAACCCAATGTCCAGTTACAGCTGAACCAAATTTTCATGTATGAGTTTGTTATTTACCAAAGACATCTTTTTAGATTCTAATTGAATTTGAGTCTATTTTCTTTTTACCCAATAAAACACCTTGGGCCAATGATACCTATTCAACAGTCTGCTACTTGGGACTGGCTATGAAATCAGGCAGCTGCAAGACAGATCCCAAGGGTGACTGTGGGTGAGGGGCTCATGTGCCAAGGATGCGATTAGAGATTGTTCACTGTTGTGTTAGGTTTGATGGGAGAGGGCATCCATCAGAGCAGATGGGCACCCCTCCAGAGAGATTCCTGAGGAGGAGAATCAGATAAGGGACAGAATAAAGGGCAGTGACCTGCAAGGAGGCTCCTGTAAGAGCCTGCAAAGAGCCAGAGTAGAGGGAGAGAATCTGGAGGCCCTACAAAGAGACAATAACCTTATACCCCAGACAGAAAGATAATACTAGAAGTGTCTAGTCATGCAGCTGTCAGTCAGATCAGCCCCAGGCATGAGGAGTCAGGTCGGGAGGTAACTCAAGAAGTCCAAGACTTCATCATCTGAGGCTGCTGGGCCTGGATTCTTGCCTAGAAACCCCCTGGGTAAAATTACAACAATGGGTGCAATGGTTGCTTGATAAAAACTCTCCTTAACAGTAGTCAAACAGAGGGACCCTGGTGGCTCACTAGACAGACCTAAGGACCCTGGGAATTTGTTGCATATTGGAGCACATGCGGAATAATAGAGGCAAGAGACAAGTTAGGAGACAGAGTTCTGAGATAGGGAGTCGGAGTAGAGGGGCTGGCATGTCTCAGAACTCACTTAGGCTAACTTCTCCATCCTTTCACTTGTAACCAGGCCAGGTAGTGGTACACAAAAAGATGAGGCATTTTTCTTTAAGCTCAGAAGTCAAGAAGTCTCAAAGTAGATGGTTTGCCTCCTGTCTGGAGTGAGAGGATAATAACAGAAGCGTACCTCATTTCTCATCTCTCCTGAGTTTGAGACGTCTCTTAAAGCTGTGATGTCCAGAAGTGCACTGAAGCCCACAGGGAAGGGAGGAAGGTGCACATATTCCCCACTCTTGATCAGCCTTCCCGCCTGTAGCCTAGGGTATGTATTTGTTAGAAATGAACACGCAGGGAGTGATCAGTTCCCTTACTGGTGTTGTCTTAGACTGGGCCTCTGCCTGGTCAAATATATACCTTTGCTTTGTGTGTGTGGGTTTTTTTTTTTTTTTTTTTTTTTTTTTTTTTTTTTTTTACAGGCAGAGTTAAACAGTGAGAGAGAGACAGAGAGAAAGGTCTTCCTTTTTCCGTTGGTTCACCTCCTCCAAGTGGCCACTATGGCCAGCATGTTGCGGCCTGCAAGCTGCGCTGATCCGAAGCCAGGAGCCAGGTGCTTCCTCCTGGTCTCCTATGTGGGTGCAGGGTCCAAGGACCTGGGCCATCCTCCACTGCCCTTCTGGGCCACAGCAGAGAGCTGGACAGGAAGAGGAGCAACTGGGACAGAATCGGGTGCCTCAACTGGGACTAGAACCTGGGGTGCCGCCGCCACAGGCAGAGGATTAGCCTAGTGAGCCACGGCGCTGGCCATGCTTTGTTCTTATACATAAGGAAAATAGTTGTTCTACTGCTCGTAACCTTGAGTCTTATCTAATATTGAGCCTGATTTCAACAATGAGCCTTCATGGCAAGAGTCTTAGCCAAGGTGTTTTTAAGCCAGGGTTTGGTGAGAGAGTGCCTGCCTGTTTACCACCCAGGCTGATGACTAGGCAGGTGGAGGAACAAAGAAGCAGAGTAGGGGAATAAAATCCTCCCCAGTAAACCTCCTCTGAGGTATGGGCTACATAGGAAGGACCTGACAGAGGGGACCCAGAAGAGGGGACTTCAGAAGGAAGGTGTGGGATACCAGAGACATGCTGATACTTGCCTACAGAAGTTCAGCTCATGTGGGGACTTAATGAGAGTCTAGGTAAAAAAAACTGCCTGTCTGAAAAAGGAATAATTAAACTTGAACCCAGAGCTAATGAACGAAACATATCTAGGAAATACCCACTAATGGGACCAGGAAATCAAATTGGTAGGAATTGAGGAGACCTGGTGAGGTACAGAAAACATTTAGAGGAGCAGAGAGAGACTGAAATTTTGTCAGGATCTGGGGTAAAGGAAAAACTCATTGAAGCATGGAGCCTAGAGCCCGTGGCCTCGCTCCAAGCTGTGCCCAGTCTCACCGACAAATTGATCTCCAAGGAAGGAAGAACAGGATGCAGTTTTCAGCCCGACACCCTAATGGGCTGTCAGAGTCTGCTTTCTGCTCAAGGAGTCCTTGACAAAAACCAGAGAGTGGCCCTGGCCTGAATTTCAAGATTACTCCAAGTCCATCTCCCAGTTTCGCATGTTGGGCCAGTCCCCCAGGAAAGGAAGCTGAGTTGGACCGGACCAACGTTCCCGAAGCTGAGATGAGAAGTGTGAAGGGTGGAGCATCTGGCTTTGTGGCTTGTGAGGACTTCAAAAGAGCAGGGGCCTCATTCCCTGCAGGAAAATGCATTTCCTGACCCAGTACCATTTCGGCTGTCGGGGTCTGGTGCCCAGCCGGGAGTGTAGCCCCAGCCAGAATCCATAAGTTGTCTCAAAGCCTTCTCCCTATCCCATGCCAAGGGCTGATCCACGCAAGAGGGAGGGGAGGTATTCTACAGCCCAACGACACACGGGCTTGTCTAGGTGTGGGGTCCAGCCAAGAGATTTTCAGAACACACTGGGGAGTGCCCCAGCCCCTTCAATCCTCTCAGTGCCTTTTCCCAGTTTCTTTATGAAGGGCCGATCCACACTGGAGAAGAGAGGGGTTAGAATGGAATCTCCACTCTAGGGGGTTACTCTAACCTAATCAGCTAGCCTAGCCCCTGAGTCTTAGGGCTGGCAGCCATGCTGACCACCTTTAACTGGCTGACAGGGACCCTGTGTTTTTGAGAAAATGAGAGAGTTTCAATGGAGGGAGAGGAAAACTCTCAAAAAAAAAAAAAAACCAGAAGCAAGGGCAGTCCTCCTGCTTGCCTGTCCGGCGAGATAATCCAATACTGGCTGGAACTGAAGTCCAACGGAATCTGAGTCACGTTGGAGTTGCTATCTGAGCAGCAGGGAAAAGATTGCCTTGCTTCTTTGTCTCACATAGAGGAAGAATTTCCAAGAGGACAAGGCAAAGAGAAAAGCAGGATGTGTTGAAAGCAAGATTCAGTTAAGTCAGAGACCTCCTGGCAGAGTGGCCAGCAGAGGGGCTCCAGGAGAGGCAAAACCTGGAGGGGTTGGTGGTCCTGGTTTTTCTTTTCTTTTTTTCTTTTTTTCTTTTTTTTTTTTTTTTGACTGGCAGAGTGGACAGTGAGAGAGAGAGACAGAGAGAAAGGTCTTCCTTTGCTGTTGGTTCACCCTCCAATGGCCACCGCGGCCGGTGCGCTGCGGCCGGCGCACCACGCTGATCTGATGGCAGGAGACAGGTGCTTCTCCTCGTCTCGGTCCTGGGGTTTTTAAGCACACTTTTGGGGAAGAGGCTGTCAGTCAGTATAAGGAGGGGACAAACTCATCAAAAGACCTGATTTATAATCTTTTCACCCTGTCTTGCTCGTGAGAAAACAAAAGAGCCATTAGAAGGGTGGCTAATTTGTTTTACAGTGAACTGGGAGCTCAGGAGGCATTACCACTCTGCCACTGTTCTCATGGTAAGATTGGAAATTCCCATGGAATGGGGTAGGCACTTTTAATCTTGCTAAAGGTAACTTCAGGTGAAAGCAAGCATTCCACACCCTCGGTTTCCACCAGGACCAACCTGACTGCCAGTTAACCAGTCTGACTTCTCCCATTCTCACTGGATGTGCCAGCAGCCTGTCGCTGTGGCCAGCTCCAGACAGCTGAGTAGTAGGTCGCAGGCCACTTGACAGTTCACAAGAAGCTCTGCTCCATTCACCTTAGGACAAAGATACGTGAAGAGAGTGGAAATATACTCAGCGTCGTGCCCACTGTCGATAACCGTCGGAAAGATTGAGCATTTCCATAGGAGGCTCAAACTCCTTTCCCAGCTAAGACCACCATGAACCTCCAGTAGAAATGGAACCCCAGATTTGATTCCTCACAAGGGAAAGAAGTAGTCCTTTCAGAGCCGAGCCTTGATCTGTACTAAAAGAGAGCTTTGTAATCACACTGGTGTCCTTGTGATTGTCTTGACAGTGGCTGTTGGCCAAATTGGAAACTTTCTGGCTTACACGGCAGTCCCCACAGTCCTCGTGACTCCCCTGGGTGCCCTCGGAGTGCCATTCGGGTAAGCGCTAAGGTTATGTGTTTTGGTCTTCAATGCATAGTTTAGATGTGAAGAAATTTTCATTTAAAATGTTTCTGTTAAAATAATAACAGTAAAATTATGCCTGAAGATAGATATTCAGTATTTTACTCTATGTCATTTAATTTTAACCCTTCAGGTGTAGTTTTGTGTGTTACTAATACTTCTCCTAGAAATTTGCCTTACTGTGTTTCGAGTTGTAAGTTATTCGTGGAAATCAATGTCCGATGCTGCCACTCCCCTGGGGTTTGCCCTGGAAAATTTCTTAGAGACTACGACTTTTCCCAAGAAGCAAAATGAGTTTATTGGTGTTTTATTTGGGTGCTTAGCATCCCTTGCTGAATACTGGACAGTCCCCAACTCACCCCTGGAATTGCGTAATTTAGGACAAATGACACGTGAGTACCAATGGACATGAAATAAAATCCAAGGTTCTAATTCATGGAATCATTGATTTTTTTTTGCTATATTCCAGACCCTGAAATCCTTGCAAAGAAGTGTGTTTGTGATGGATGTATTTGGGTTTGCACCTTAAAGTTTCTTAAACTTTATGGTACTGTGGGCTAAAAATCACAAATACGAGGTGGGACTTTGGCACAGTTGTTAAGCTATGGCTTGGGGAAGTCTACATCCCAAGTCACAGTGCCTGGGTTAAAGTCCAGGCTCCACCTTCATTCAGTTTCTTGTGCACCGTCAGCACGGCTCCATCCTGGCTGCTGCAAGCATTTGGAGAATGAACCAGAAGATGGTATGGGAGCACTTCCTGTTTGTGTCTCCAATAAATAAATTAATTAAATTGAAACGCATAATGTTATCACATTTTTATTTTAAAAAGATTTATTTATTTATTTAAATGAATTATAGAGAGACAGGGAGAAAATCTTCTATTAACTGGCTCATTCCCCAGATGGCCACAACAGCCAGGGCTGGGCCAGGTAGAAACCAGGAGCCAGGAGCTTCTCCTACATCTCCCACATGGGTTGAAAGGGCCCAAGCACTTGGGCCACCTTTCACTGTTTTTCCTAGGCCATTAACAGGGAGCTAGATTGGAAGTAGAGCAGCCAGGACACGACTTGGTGCCCATATGGGATGCTAGTGTTGCAGGCAGTGGCTTTGCCCACTATGCCACAATCCAAGCCCCTGATATCACATTTTTAAAGTGTCAAGTATTAGAGAAGAATAATCACCTGTTGTACTAACATACTGCATTTACTATTAGCACTTTTATTTTTTCTTCTGTTTGTGCATTTTTCACTTTTTTTTCTACAAGTTTATTTATTTATTTGTAAGGCATAGTTACAGGTGGCCAACTCTGTGGCGTAGTAGGTAAAGCCACCACTTGCAGTGCCGGCATCCCATATGGACACTGGTTCAAATCCCGGCTGCTCCACTTCTGATCCAGCTCTCTGCCATGGCCTGGGAAAGCAATAGAAGATGGCCCAAGCCCTAGGGCCCCTGCACCCATGTGGGAGACCTGGAAAGAAGCTCCTGGCTCCTGGCTTTGGATCAGCGCAGCTCCAGCCATTGTGGCCATCTGGGGAGTGAACCAGCAGATGGAAGACCTCTTTGTCTCTGTCTGTCTGTCTGTCTCTCTCTCTCTCTCTCTCTGCCTCTCCTCTCTCTGTGTAACTCTGACTTTCAAGTAAAATAAATAAATCTTTTTTTTTTTTAAAGGTAGAGTTACAGAGAGACTGAGGCAGAGAGAGAGAGAGGTCTTCTATCTGATGGTTCACCCTCCAAATGTCCATAACAGCTGGAGCTGGGCCAATCTGAAGCCAGGAGCCAGGAGCTTCTTCTGGGTCTCCCACTCTAGATGCAGGGGTCCAAAGACTTGGGCAATCTTCTTCTGCCTTCCCAGGCCATAGCAGAGAGCTGGATCAGAAGTGGAGCAGCCAGGAATCTAACTGGCACTCATGTGGGATGCAGGCAGTGGCTTTACTCACTACACCACAGCGTGGGCCCCTTCACTTATTTATTTATTTATTTATTTTGACAGGCAGAGTTAGACAGTGAGCGAGAGAGACAGAGAGAAAGGTCTTCCTTTTCTGTTGGTTCACCCCCCAAATAGCCACTACGGCTGGCGTGCTGCACCGATCCGAAGCCAGGAGCCAGGCGCTTCCTCCTGGTCTCCCATGCGGTGCAGGGCCCAAGCACTTGGCCCATCCTCCACTGCACTCCTGGGCCACAGCAGAGAGCTGGACTGGAAGAGGAGCAACTGGAACAGAACCAGCGCCCCAACCGGGACTAGAACCCGGGACTAGAACCTGAGATGACAGCGCCGCAGGCAGACGATTAGCCAAGTGAGCCGTGGCACTGGCCTTCACTTATTTTTTTAAACTTAAAGTATTTTACAAATTTTATTTGAAAGGCAGAGAGAGAGCTCCCAAAGCTGGGGGTTGGCCAGAGCCAAACCTCGGAAATGGAAACACAATCGAAGTCTCCCACCCAGGGGTAGGAATCCTATCACTTGAGCCATCACTGGTGCCTCCCAGGATCTGCATTAACAGGAAGCTGGAGTCAAGAGCTGGCACTGGAATTGAGCCCAAGTACTCTGATATGGGGTGTGGGTGTCTTAACTCCTAGGCTGAACACCTGCCCCAACTTACCATGTTTTTAAATCATGCATTACTTGTAGTTATTTTGACAGTTTTTGTTTTTTACTTTCTTACTTAGCATAGTTGTTTTGATGATTTGTTTTATAAATACAGATGCAATACTTTTATTTTTGGTCAACAGAAAATGTGTTTTTCTATTGTGATATATTTCATATCTACTGAGAAAATAATATAAAGTGTCATGAGTTAAGAATGCTGCAAACAATGTACTAGCTTTGCATGGAATTCATATGAAAATATCATTTGTATAAAAATAAATTTCAATAATTATTAATCATTTTTCTTCTTAAAAATTAAAAAATGAAAAATAAGGTATGGCTATAAAGAGAATGTGGCTTTTCTAGAGAAAGTGTATTCATTTGGTAGACACAGATCAGGTAGTTCGGTTTACATTTTAATGATTTCTTTTTTTGGTCACTGAAGGTCCATTTTAGCTTCTTACCTTCTGAAGGAAAAGCTCAACATCTTGGGCAAGTTGGGGTGTCTGCTGAGCTGTGCAGGTTCCGTGGTCCTGATTATCCACTCCCCGAAATCTGAGAGCGTGACGACGCAGGCCGAGCTGGAGGAGAAGCTGACCAATCCAGGTAACTCTTCGCTAGCAACACTGCCACGAATTCTTGTCCCGGCTCCATATCACGCCCTCTGGTGGTACGAGTGAACCGTGTGTCCACCCTGGCCTGCCTCTCAGGTCTGCCTTCTGCATGCCCACGTGTCAGTTGGCTGTGAGCTACCTGGGGACCCCCAGCTTGGTGGTGTTGGAGTCCTGTGCATTTATCCTTCCACTCTCCTGCCCATAGGGGCTTCCACCCACTGCCTTGGGTGCTCTGAACCCTGAGTGGATCCTCACGGTCACTGTCACCTCTCCCTCATCTCCATCACACTCCTCCTGACTCTCCTACTCTCAGAACTTAGCACTGCATGCACTGGTTCCCTCTGGGACCTTGTGCATCAGCGCCTTCCCTTTCCATCCCCTGTGCTCCGTGCTACCACCTCTGACCACTGCACCTACCGGGCTGCCTCCTGACCTCTGACTGCTGCCCTCTCCCCTTACCATCCTCCCTGCTGTCCCTGCTGTGGGCCATGTCCTGTGGGGTCTGTCCCTCCTCCTACCTAGAGCTCTCTGAGAGCAGAGACTAGGTTTATTTATTTTTTCTGACATAGAGCTTCTTTTATTGACAAATTCAATTAGAAACACTATGTACGTAATTATACCAGCCTTACAATACAGATTTTTTTTTCTAGATTGCTTCCAGCAGGCCATTCTGCATTGCTTGCAATGATTTTAGGCAGGTGCCAGCATGAAGCAACCTTCACACCGATGTTCAAATGCAGAGCATCTTTAGGTTGCAGAGTGACTCTTCCTTTGCAGCTCTCAATTTGCAATGGTGGGCATAGCAACAGAAACGTCTACACATCTTGAAAAGGGGTTTATAGTGTAATTAGCCGAGACTGTCTCCTTATCATGTTGTATCCCAAATGTTTAGCATTGTGATATTTATTTCTGCCCATAAATGCCCATATATTTCCAACACTGCAAGAAATGAGAATACAAAGACTTTAAAAAAAAAAAAAGACCTAAGAACTAGAGAATAGTGTCCTGATTATTTTATGGTAATTTTGTAAAAATATTTTATATATTTATTTGAGAGGTAGAGTTACAGAGAAAGGGAGAGACATAGAGAAAGATCTTCCATCCATTGGTTCATTTCTCAAATGGCCACAGTGACAAGCTGGGTCAGGCAGAAGCCAGGAGCCAAGAGCTTCTTCCAGGTTTCCCATGTGGGTGCAGAAGCCCAAGCACTGGGGCCACCTTTTACTGCTTTCCCAGGCCATAGCAGAGATGTGGATTGGAAGAGGAGCAGCCAGAACTAGATCTGGTGTCAATCCAGCCACAGGTGGAGGCTTAGCCTACTATGCCACACTGCTGACCTCTATTTTATAGTAATTTCAGGAGGGACATCTCCAAACGCTGCTTATCCATTGATAAATGTGGATGATACCAGTATATCTAGCTCCTCAGTTTTTTTACCAAACATGTTTAATTTGAATATCTCTATAAAAATTTGGTATGAAGATGTGATAGTAGCAGAAAAAATTTTCTTTCCTTTTTAAAAAAAGTTTTGGGACCTGGTGCTGTGGAGCAGTAGGGTGAGCTACTGCCTACAGTGCTGGCATCCTGAATGAGCACCAGTTCAAGTACCACCTGCCCCACTTCAGATCCAGCCCTCTGCAAATTAAAACAAAACAAAACAAAACAAAACAAACAAACAACAAATTCTATTTATTATTTTCTTGAAAGTGAGAGAGAAAGAGATACTGATCTTCTGTCAGCTAGCTTACTCCCCAGTTGCCTGCAAAGTCAGAGCTTGGCCAGGGCAGAGCCAGAAACTAGGGACTCAATCCCAGTCTCCCATGTAAGCGGCAGGAACCCATCACCACTGCCTCCTAGGTTATGTAGTAACAGGAAGCTAGATCAGAAGCAGAGGTGAGACTTGAATGCAGATACTCCAGGATGGGATGTGGGCATCCCAAGTCATTGCATGAACCAGAAATTTTCTTTTAGACATGAAAAACTTGTTTTTTCTTAAATTATTATTACTACTTTTAAATATTTATTTATGTATTTGAAAGAGTTGCAGAGAGAGAGAGAATCTTCCATCCACTGGTTCACTCTCCAAATGGTCTTGGTGGCTGGGGCTGGGCCAGGCCAAACCCAGGAGCCTCGAGCTTCATCTGGGTCTCCCATATGGGTGGCAGGGTCCCAAGCACTCTGGCCATCTTCCAGTGCTTTCCCAGGTGCATTAGTGGGAGCTGGATCAGAAGTGGAGCAGGGAGGACTCAAACCTGCAAAAATATGGGATGATGGCTCTGCAGGCTACATCATACCACTGGCCCCTAAAGGCTTGTTTTTCAACTGAAATATAAAATGGTACTATTCTGATTGCTCAATATACTAAATATTTTTCTAATTTTTTTGCTGAAGATTTAAAACACCAGAATTAATTTTTTGCCAAATAATTGCCCCAGATAAAACTTAAGTGAGTACTTGTTTATATTTTTGAAATCCCTGATATGTGATCTCTGATATTCAGAGGTGAAAGAATAGAAACACCTGGAAAATTCTCTCAAGAGAGAATGCCAGGGGCTGGCACTGTGGCACAGCAGGTAAAGCCACCGCCCACAGTGCTGGCATCCCATATGAGTGCCAGTTCAAGTCCTGGCTGCTCCACTTCTGATCCAGCTCTCTGCTACGCCCTGGGAAAGCATAGAAGATGGCCCAAGTCTGTGGGCCACTGCACCTGCCGGGGAGACTCAGAAGAAGCTCCTGGCTCCTGGCTTCGAATTGGCCCAGCTCCGGCTGTTTCAGCCATTTGGGGAGTGATGAAAGAGGTTTTCCCAGTTTTGGAGCCTGCAGGTCCAAAGGCCCCATGGCAGATGCCAGAGCGCATGCAGAGACAGGATCACATGGTGAAGGAGGAAGCAGGGGGAGAGTGGTGGAGACAGACTCAGGTTCTCATAACCACCCGCAGTGACCTACGGATCTTCCACAAGGCCCCACCCCCTAAAGGATCCAACCTTTCCTGATAGCACCACCCTGCAAACCAACCCTTTAACTCAGGCTTCGGGAGCCAATCACTGGGTCTGACCCTGCGAACCACTGGCAGGACTCAAAATTCAGTAAACCTTAAGCAGGCTAAATTTTAAAAAAGATTTATTTATCTGAGAGGCAGAGTTACAGACAGAGGGAGAAACAGGGAGAGAGGTCTTTCATCTGCTGGTTCAGTCCCCAAATGGCAACAGCTGGAAGTGGATTGATCCAAAGCCAGGAGCCAGGAGCTTTTTCTGGGTCTTCCACACAGGTGCAGGGGCCCATGTACCTGGACCATCTTCCCCTGCTTTCCCAGGCCATTAGCAGGGAGCTGGATCAGAAGTGGAGCAGCCAGGATACAAACTGGCACCTGGATGGTATGCTGGCGCCGCAGGTCAAGGCTTAACCTTGTACACCACAGTGCCAGCCCCTGGCAGGCTGATTTTTAAGTTGGTAATTTTGTATGGCTCTTGCAGAAAAATACTTCCTCAGCCCTACACGCAAGAGCCTTTGCTGGGTGTTTAACATCCAAACCACAGAAACCATAAAGCATGCATTCTCAGTGGGGTGATAGTCACCCTGGAGAGCAGAAACTAGTCCTTAGAAGCAGAAAAATATATTCTTTTAATGTATAAACATAGATATACATACAATGTAGAAACAGCTGTACAATGTGGCAGAATTAAAATTTCATGGGAGTGAGCAGTTGGGGAAAAGCTGTATCATGTTTCCTTAGAGGGCTGATAAGACAAAAAGAACTGAGACACACTGGATGTGTTGAGAAACACTTTACATAAATAATCATAAAGCTAGGGAGATAAAAATAAGTCATGGTCAGTCACTTGGAAACAGGTTTCCTCTGATGTGGGTTTTTCTGTCTGAGTTTCTCAGTTCTCAAGGCTGACACTTGTGCACCGTGCCCCCTTACTAGCAGTGCCCACTCCTGTCTCTCTACCCGGTTGACCACTTCCCACCTTTACTTCCTGCCCTTCTTCACTGCCTGCCCTAGGACACAATCTCTCATGGCCCCAGCCCTCTCCCCTTAGGTATCTTGATGCTGAGGACCCTTCTGAAATATAGTCTGATTATGTCCCTTCCCAGTGCCAAAGCCTTTTGCAGCTCCCTTCCTGTGAGAGAAAGCCCAGACTCCTTCATGGTCTCACCCTGCTGCTTTGGTGAGCATGCACCTGCACAGCTGCATCCAAGCCACAGGTTGGCCATGTTTTGTGTTCCCATGTGCCAAGCTCTCCTCCTTCTGCTGCCACTTCCTGTGGGTCAGGCTCCCAGGCAGCTTTCAACTGCCCTGCTAGTATCCTTTCCCTAGTGGGGAACCATTTTTCTGCCAAGGACCATTTGGATATTTATAACATCATTCAAGGGCCATACAAAATTATCAGCCTAAAAAATTAGCCTCCTCTAGATTCATTGAATCTCAGATTCCTCCTCCAGTTGCCCTGGCAGGACCAGACGCAGACCCAGTGATTTCGCAGGCCTTATATGGGCTATAGGCTGGACGTTCCTCATCCCTGCTGTAGAGGCTTCCTGAGTCCTCCCCCAGAGCAGGAGGACTCCACAGTTCCTTTTTCTAACCATTGCCTGACTGCTGGTTTGCATGTTCACACTTGCTGGTTTACGTGTCTATGCTGGCTTGTTTGCATGTCTAGATGGTTCCCACCCCTGTCAGGTCCAGTGTCCCATTTATAATCTGGGAACAAAGTTCATACACTATAAGGGGACACCAAAAAGTTTCATGGAAATGAATGAAAAGATAAGCTTGGGAGCATTGTAGAGCAACAGGTTAAGCTGCACCTTGGGACACCCACATCTCAGATTGGAATGCCTAGGATCTCATCCTACCTCCTCTTCCAACCCAGCTTCCTATCAATGTGCACCCTGGGTGGTGGCAGATAATGGCTCAAGTACTTGGGTCCCTGCCACCCATGTGGGAGATTCTGATGGAGTTCCTGTCTCCTGGCTTTGGCTGGGACCAGCCCTAGCTCTTGTGTGCATTTAGAGAATAGCTAGCAGATGGAAAATTGATATTTCTCTCTTTCTTTCTCCCTCTCTCTTTTGGTGTAACTCTGCCTTTCAAATAAATAAACATAAATAAACTTTAAAGAAAAAAAGCTCATTTGGGTACAAAACAAACTTGAAATCCATGCATAATTTTTTCATAAAGCACGTTTCTCATAAACCTTTGCAGACTCTTTTATAACTTCTTCGTGCATGCAACTTCAGCACAACCAATATAATGCCCTTGCTGTAATCCAGGAGGACTAGCAGGATGTTTCTTTATAAATGGAAGTGCTCAGGTGCAACCACAGGAGAAGGGTGTTGAAGCTGGCAGGCCCATACCATGTATGGGGTCCCTGAGAATCTGGCAGCTGCAGACTGATGAGGAGGTGTCTGCAGCTGACAACACCAGGCGGTCTTGCCATCAGCAATATGATCCTTCGAAATGAGAAAGACCCTTGACCAACTTCCAATCAAAGAAAGAATAATCCTTCCTCAATTTACATGGAAGTTGCATTTCTGAAAAATTCGGTGGAAATGAGACCCATTCAAACCTTACTTTGTTTTACGCATAAAATAGGTTTGGGGTTTGATTCTGATAATCATATTTGTCACTTGCAAGTCCAAAGAAGTTGTGAGGTGAATGGATAAAGTTTAATTGCACATCCCTCTCTGCCTGCTCGTGCAGCCCCTGACTGCTGGGCCAGGCACAGGTAGACTCACCGTGTATGACTCCACGTTGCCTCCTCACACCTCCAGCACTGTCTGCCTGTGACACGCATTCACTAAGGGTTTTTGTTGAGTTGACTCCAAGAGAATGCATTTCGTGAGTGGTTTTTTTGGTTTAAGTTCAGATCATGTACGTTGATTTTACCATAACAAAAATGCTACTAAAGAGAGAGGATCATGTAATCATTCAGAAGCTATGAATGGTTTTTAAAGATTACTTATTTATTTTAAAGGTGAGAGTCACAGAGAGAGAGGGAAAGACAGAGATTTTCCATCTGCTGCTTCACTCCCCAAATGGCCGCAACAGCACACGCTGGGCCAGACACAAGCCAGGAGCTAGGAGCCCCAACCAGGTCCCCCACTTGCGTGCAAGGTCCCAGACACTTGGGCCATCTGCCTCTGCTTTTCCCCAGGCTATTAGCAGGGGACTGAATCAGAAGTGGAGTAGCCGGGACATGATTTGGCGTCCATGTGAGATGCCAGCATTGCAGGCAGTGGCTTTACCCACTGTGTCATAACACTGGCCCCACTATGAATGTTTTAATGGTGAAAATCATGAGAATACTTCTTCTGTGGTGGATCTGGTAAACTCAGAGCTCCACTCTGCCCCTCCGGGTGGTGGGCTGGCTGGGGGGCTGCATGGGTCACCATGTCCTCCTGTCTTGCAGTGTTTGTGGGCTACCTGTGCATCGTGCTGCTCATGCTGCTGCTGCTCATCTTCTGGATTGCACCGGCCCACGGGCCCACCAACATCATGGTCTACATCAGCATCTGCTCCTTGCTGGGCAGTTTCACCGTGCCTTCCACCAAGGGCATTGGGCTGGCAGCCCAAGACATCTTGCACAACAACCCGTCCAGTCAGAGAGCCCTGTGTCTGTGCCTGGTGCTCTTGGCTGTGCTGGGCTGCAGCATCATCATCCAGTTCAGGTACATCAACAAGGCGCTGGAGTGCTTCGACTCCTCTGTGTTCGGGGCCATCTACTACGTGGTGTTCACCACCCTGGTCCTGCTGGCCTCGGCCATCCTCTTTCGGGAGTGGAGCAACGTAGGTCTGGTGGACTTCCTGGGCATGGCCTGTGGATTCACGACCGTCTCTGTGGGGATTGTCCTTATACAGGTGTTCAAAGAGTTCAATTTCAACCTTGGGGAGATGAACAAATCCAATATGAAAACAGACTAGGATGCAGCGGGGTTGAGGGGCTCAAGAACAGGCCTTGGAGGTGGTTCCTGCTCCTGATTGGATGTGAAGTAGAAGAGACCCTCAATCCCTGGAGTTAGACTTGCCTGTGTACTAACGGGTGGCCTGCTGGACAGTGGGGAGCCTGGCTCTGCACCAGAGTGGGGGCCCAGCCCGAAGCTCCCCGACACTTGCCTGGGCATCATCTCTCTCTGATGAGACGAATTGCATTTTCATTTCCATTAACCTGGAAGCTTTCATGACTACTCTTCCCCTCTAAAACATTTTAACATTATTTAAACAGAAACTAAACATGGGCTCTTTCTGGTTAGTCTCTGTAAGAGAGCAGATATGCTTATGTAGAAGGTTACTTTGGAAATGGGAGAAATTGTCTTGATATCTGCCTCTGTATAGTAAGTATGCCTGTAGTTGTGTTGGTTTGCATTAAGCATGTATCACATTCAGGTACCTCATCCAAATAAGTATGTACATTGAATTGTTTTTATTCCTTTAACAAGGTGACTCTCTCCTCCCACACACCCCCAGACATTTTAATAGCAAAAAGAGAGAGAAGAGGTAGGGCATTGATGATGCAGTGTTCCATCGGCAGGATGACTTCACAATAGCTCAAATCAATTTCAGTGCCTTTATCACTTGGATTATCCACTTAATTTGACTATTACTCTGTATATTCTTTTAGATTAGAATGATGCAACTTCTTTGGTTATACCTTACTATTTCAATATTCAAATTATAAATATGTAAAGCAATTAGAAATAATAGTACATTCGTTGGAAGGTAGTCAAGACTAAAGACCCATTAGAGCAAATTGACCTGTTTAGCATGTAGTTATTGTTCTCTTAAAGACAATTGGCTAAGTAGCATGAAGTATTTTTATTTGCATTCGATCTATGTATTTGAGATCCAGTGTCAAATATGTACACCTTTCTTTTAGCAAGCATTTGTGGCCATACAGAAGAAATAAATTATTTAGCTTGAAATAAGGCTGTTTAAGTGAGAGAGTTAACAGCTCAACAGCACATATATTGAGTGCCCTGTGATATGGGAGCATGTTAAGGGACAGTTGGCTAGCTTCTACAAATTGAAACGCACAGAATTTTCCAAAGAATTTCCAGCAAAAATGAAAACATTGTTGTTTGAGAGGGCAAAGCATCCTAGAGTTCCTCACCCAGCCTCTCATTACGCTTTCCAAATGCAAAGTAGCCATTGATTATTTCAGGGTTTGCATCAAAAAAGCTCATTCTTCTGTCCATGGTAACCTTCCATATGTCTTTATGGAAGCAAAGCATGAAGTGATAAATAGTTCATTGCGATATATACTTCATGTCTAATGCTCTAATCTATGTAGGAAGTTATGCCAAATTGAAAAATGAGATTGAGTAGAGTAGGTGAAGTAGAATATGCCATTTAATAATATCCATTTAAAGTTACTCATTAAGAAAAAAGATGTTTTTTTTCCTGGCAAAAGTAACATTTCTTTTTATTATTATAATTTTTAAAAATTATTTCTAAAGTAAAGATCCAAGGAATAGTTGCCTAAAGTGTTTAATAAGAAAGGTATATAAAATAAGACTACTGCGATGTAACATAGACTATAAAACACCTCTTTGAATTAAAAGTACCATATTATGATGCTAGGTTGTAGCGATTTGTGAATTAAGAGCAGCAAGAAAATTTTTTTAAGAAAATTTTAAAACATTCTTCGTTAACTTATAGTTAATATATACTCAAAAAGTTGATTAATCTTTTTATCAGCTCTTGATGTTTTTTTTTTCATCACCAGTGTTTTTAGAAATACAGACCTTAACTTATTGAACTGAACTTTCTGATGATGTAATGTAGCAGAATCAGTATACTTGTAGGCATAAAATGGTTTTCCTGCTTAAGGAGTTTAAGGTGGTCAAAGAACCTATGTTGCTATAAAGGTATAATGAGGAAATTCATGTGTCAAATGGAAAAATCATGATTATTTTGCTACAGCTTCCATGTAACACTTAAATGCACCTATTGCTGTATTTTATTATATTTTAGTTCACAATTATACTATGGATACTCAGAGGTGATATTGTTTTTTGGGCAATACTCCCTGTGATTTTTAAACTGAAACAGAATTTCAAAGTATTATTGGCTCTTCTCCTCTTTATGACAGGCCCTAGAACAGGTAGAATTTCCAAGGTTTAGATCCATTCAGCAGATGGCTCCGGTAGGATACACAGCCTTTGTTCCAAAGGGAACGGTGCATAGCACTCATTGTTTTTCAGCTAGCCTCCAGGTGGTTGACATGATAGCTATTTAGCTGTCCAATTTTTAAGTTTAACATAGAACTTTTAAATTCTGACTTAATAGTCTTTGTTTTACAGTTCATATTTTCATAATTCATTTGGAAATGCCAAGAATATAGAATCCCCAAAGTGAGAGCTTTGGGGAAGGGCCTGGAATAGGGATACATCTCTTATTGGCCTTTCAGAAAGTAAATGCATGCAAAACATTTTCACCATGACATGATTCTTTGGGTATCATCTCTGATAAAGTGAAGAAAAAAAATACCTACTGTATACTTGTTTTCCAGCTCCTTTAAAATTGAAGGCTTTTAATCACAATTTGCAGATTTATTCTTGGTAGATATTTAAATAGGCCCTTTCTCATTTGAGTCTTTGTATCTTAAAAGACTGCCACTTGTTCTGTTTATGGATCTAGTGTAGGACTGATTCAGGATTCTGACCCAAACCCTGGACAAAGTAAGTGTTCTGCTGGTCCGCATGACCCCTGTGTCTCTGGAGAGAAAGGACAGCCTGCTCCTTGTCACATGTGGAGAAGGCCTGCCCTGGCTGGGACCTTTGGAAAGAATCTGGTTTCCTGGTGGCCTTGCTCATCGCTCAGACTGTCACTACAGTTTTGTCACATTAGGATGTTGGTGATAGATGTTGCTGCTCTCTGTTCAGCAATAAGAAATATTCTTTCTGTCCTACTTTCAAAGCCATTTTGTTACACTCAATTATATTTCCTCAGATCTACCCCAGCAGTAATGTGTGGGTTTTGTTCTTCCTTGGGTTTCATGTCTGCCATGCGATACAAGAAAGCACTATTCTAATATGTACTTGCTGCTCATCTTCCTCTGCAGCTCAGCTCACGGTAAATACTGTGCCTGACTTCTAAAGGCCAGTTCCTAGACTGCTGACGAGCACTGAGATGCAGTGTCTCCCAGATGTGGGTGCATGCTCAGCCCACAGCAAGTGCTGATGCACACAGTCCACTGCCCTGCTGCACAGTTCTTGTCGGGAGGATACCTCTTTTCCAAGCTGCTCCACTAGTCTAGAAGAGCGGAGAGAATGCTCAGATAGTTCACAGAGCCCCATCCCTCACTCCTCCCAGATGCTACTAGATCCCGTTTAGGCTTCCTGTGACTGTGTAGGAACTTAGGAAGAGTAAGGTCAGTGTAGTCACGACAGTATGCATTAGCTTCCATGGTCTGAAGGAGCTGTCCGTCTCAGTGCATCTGTTCACCCGTCGTCGAGCAGGACTGGAAGTGATCTTGGTGTTCTGTCTTCTCAGGGACCAAAAATGTATCATTTAGTCCTTAGCATTGACCTTCCTCCCAAGGACATGGCCCATGTTCGTTTTTTGTATCTTACTTGTACTCATAGGTAGATACTTCTGTTAACTTGAGTTGAAAAGAGAAGAGACCAATTTGCGCACCAGTTATTCCACAGGACAGTTTATCATATAAAATACCTCAATTTTTTGTATTTCTCATTTCCACCTCACAGTTGTACTAGTGATGAAACTTTAAAGATCTGTCCTTTACCTGATAGGCGAATTTTCACATCTGGCCATATTCTTATATCTCCACCGTATACTTGAAAAGATTCAGAATTATAGGATCAGGAATGAGAATTTGGCCAAATACCACTACTTGTTTATTTTCATAAACATTTCTCACATGCTATTAAATGTAACAAAAGAATTATATTTTAAGAAAATGTAACTTTGTACGTTAAAAATGTTGTCTAGTAAAAAGTTGATATTCAGTAGAACAGTGATCATGTAAATATCTATTTCAAATAGACCCAAAGTGATTTAAAAAAAGAAAAAAAAGAGTCTAGGGCCCAGAGCATGAGCCAAGGAGGATTGATTTCTTCTTTTTTTCTAGTTTTCCCTGAATTGTACAAATATAGGTGAGTCACTTACCTTTCTGTGCCTCAGTTTTTCTACCTCTGAAGGAGTGAGGTGGTTCTCCAATTGGGTTGTTTCTAAACCTCTAGCACATTTAGCAGTGTTCTGGTGGCCTCAGAAGAGAGCACCATGTGCAGACTGTTGGCGAAGTGACACGTGGAAACATGGACTGCACTGACTGTGGCGTCTGCTCAGGATCCTGCTGCAGAACACACAGCTTTGGGCACCACAGAAGCCGTGGAAGCACTGAATGTAAAGTGTGCATGAATCCATGAAGCTTTAATTTTCCTTTTTTTTTTAAGGAAGGGTTTTATATATTCTATTGTAAAATATGGCAATTAAACAGACTTTATAAAAGCAGCACTAACGGATCACATTTTGATGGCGTGATGAGCTCCTCCGAGGTTCTGTTTGCTCTGTGATCTGCAGGCTTAATGACCTACGTAACAAATTGATTCTGTTCCACTGAATTTCTAATGAATGTTGCTGAACTTCCTGCTTCCAAGCACAGCTCAACCTTGACTATGAACTCTGACAACAGGTGAATGTGAGGAGCTCCCAAACCACTAGTGCCAAAGGGGCCATTGAAAAATTCAGAAGTTATTTTATTTGTCAGAACCTAATAATTTTCCCCATCCTTTCATTGTTTTTGCGCCTTATGAAAACTTAAGTGTGTTGTTTTTCAGTAGCATTCCTGAGTGTGTTTGCCTTTTTAAAGGATAACTATTTTTATCTTGTAAAATGGGATATAATCATGAAAGAGAGGAAGTCTAGATCAAAACTGTCTAATGTTGATGGGTTGCATAAAAGTTTTTCATATAAATGTATCAGGGGAGCTTCCAATTAGCATACATATATACATTTATCAATGGCTAAGATGCTTATAATTTGCTTTCTAGAAGTAGTCATAGCATGTTGTTATTGCCTTATGTAAATAAAAAGGCTATTTATTAAGTTTTCCAATATTTATTAATCTGTATGTGTTTTAAAATAAAATAACTTATTTCTAGCTGAACACTTGTTGATTTTGTTCCCTTTGCTTGAAGTTTTTGTGTAGTATTAGGTCCCAGAGCATCCCAATTCTTAAGATTTTTCCTATTTCTCTGTAGAAATGAATAGCCTAGGTGTCTATAATGTTGAAAACATTTGCTTGCACATCTCCCTGAGGGAGCAGATCCTTGATGTGTAAAGGAATTCACCATCCAGGGACTACTTCCTGATCCAGTGAAATGATGGTATCACAGAAAACCAGTTTTTACTTTAATATGTCCATAACTTTGACATGTTTTTTAGTTGTATAGCATACCATTTTAGATTTTAAGCCTATAGAAAATTAGAGAATCATAACACACTTTAATCCATCAAACATCATTAGATGTCTTGTCATTAAATCTTCTTTGGTGTAATATAAGTCATCAAGTGAGGAAAATATTTTATATGAGTAAAAGATTTTCTTCTAGGCTCTGTCCAAAAGGATTCATTCATTCACAATTTGATCAAAACACATGCATACAGAAATCAGGAACAAGAAACCACCAAATGTTTATATGGCTAGCCCCTTCCAGACTGTGTTTGGAGTCTATGAAATGTATAAATGCTGGATTCTTCACCTTGGTTGGTTACTACTGTGGATCTATGAGTTCTAGCTCCTAGCCACAGTAGTTGTTGAATGTGAGCTGTTCTGTCCGTCCCTCTAAGGACCTTAGGCTAGAGTTCCTCTGTTAGTTTGGTATATCCTGTCTGATGACCTGTACCGTGACAATATCAGTATACTTGGTTTTTTTTTTTTTTTTTTTTTTTTTTTTTTTTTTTGACAGGCAGAGTTAGCGAGAGAGAGACAGAGAGAAAGGTCTTCCTTTTTCCATTGGTTCACCCCCAAATGGCCACTACAGCCAGTGTGTTGCAGCCAGCGCGCTGTGCTGATCCGAAGCCAGGAGCCAGGTGCTTCCTCCTGGTCTCCCATGCGGGTGCAGGGCGCAAGCACTTGGGCCATCCTCCACTGCACTCCCGGGCCACAGCAGAGAGCTGGACTGCAAGAAGAACAACCAGGACAGAATCCGGCACCCCAACCGGGACTAGAACCTGGGGTGCCGGCGCCGCAGGTGGAGGATTAGCCTATTGAGCCGCGGCGCCAGCCCAATGTCAGTATACTTGTAATGTTAGTCTTACTTACACAGTTACTTTGAATCTCACATGGTAGTTTCAAAAAAGATTTTTTGTTGGACAAGTGAGGAATAGTCAACACAGATATACAATACCTAGGTATCTTTATCAACATTGTGGAGAAGAGAGAAGAATTCCAGACAAGGACATAACAAAGAGTTGGATGTGGAACTGGACAGTGGTGGGCGGGACGGGAGCAATGGCAATCAAGTAACAAACATAGTTCACATAAAATTAACTGAGATGGGAGTGGGCGCTTAGCCTAGCAGTTATGTTGCCTTTGTCCCACTTCAGAGTGTCTGAATTTGCACCCTGGCTCTGGCTCGTGACTCCATTTTCCTGCCAATGCAGACCCTCAAAGGCAGTGGTGATGGCTCAAGTAATGTGGGTCCTGCCACCCACGTGGGAGAAATGGATTGAGTTCCCAGGTTCTGGCTCCTGGCTAGGCTGGTGTTTGTGGAGTGAATCAGTAGGTGGCAGCTTTCTCTGACAAATAAAAAAAATAAAATCCCCCACAAAATAACAGATAATAGACAAGAGATAAAGGAAAGGTCAAATTAGGCTACACATTTATAAAACTGCATCTTTATTTCTGGTAAAGACATCAGGGGGGGGAATCTCAATATCTTCTTCTCTTGAACTTGGCACACTTCCTATAGTAGTTATGTACTACTGATTGTTAAGTTACCCCAAACTTTGTGGTTTACAACACACACTTATCACCTTACAGTTCTGTAGGTTGGAAGAACACAGCATTTTACTGGCTATGATCAAGGTGTCAGCAGCATTCTTCTGGAGGCTCAGGGGGAGAACTTAGTCCTTGCTTTTTAGTTTCTAGAGGTTGTTCTCATTCTTGACGCAAGGTTCCTTTCTCCATCTGCAGTGTCAACAATGTCACATCTCCCTGACCATTCTGCCGTCATCATACTCATTCTGTCACTCCTGCCTCCGTCTTGCAAAAGCCTTGGTGATTTTTGGGGGCTTGCTTAGATGATTCAGGATCATCTCCCCATCTCAAGATCCTTAACTTGATCATATCTGCATAATCCCCGTTGCCATGTAAAATAACATAGTCCTGGGGTCCATAGATTAAGACATCTTTGGGCATTACCATTCCTACCACATGCATTTAACATGAGGCAATCGTTAAAAGCTAACTCTTGGCTTTTAATGTATATCTTGGTATTCTACCTAAATTCTCTTTGAGTTACTCCTCTTACTGCAGAGTTCCCCTGCCGCCTCCAGTTTTTTGCAAATTGCCTTATTACATTCTCAGTCTTCTATGGCCTTGAGTAAACTAAATACAATTAACTGAAATACTAATGTTTTGAAATGCCAAATAATGTCACTATTCACTTTAGAAGGAAAAAGGGCAAATTTAACCAAAAACAGGCTTAAGAAAAAATTATCGTCTGCTATACTTTTCCCATGCTTCTGTGGTTAACAAAACCAAACTATATGAGAGTAATTAGGGAACAGTCTGTACATATAAGCAAACCTATTTGATTATCTAATATATGATTTTTTCAAAATGCTGTTTTAAAAGTCTTGCCTGTGCTTCTGAAAACAGTGACAAAGATTTTAACAGGTTTACTGAGGTCCAGTTGACATACAATAAACTGCACATATATGAAAGGTACAATTTGGTAAGTTTTGACATGTCATATAATGAAAAGAGTTGTAAATGAACATTTACATGTTCATATAATGCAAGCCTCACCACGGGTGAAACAGCAGATCTGTTTCACTGCTCTCTAACATTGTCATGTATTAAATATATATGCCAGTTTGTTTATCCACTCACCTGATATTTCAGTTGTTTACAGCTTTTTTTTTTTTAGATATATTTATTTATTTATTTGAAAGAGATACACAGAGAGAGAAGGAGAGACAGAGAGAGAGGTCTTCCATCTGCTGGTTCACTCCCCAATTGGCCGCAACGGCCAGAGCTTCGCCAATCCGAAGCCAGGAGCCAGGAGCTTCTTTCGGGTCTCCCATGTGGGTGCAGGGGCCCAAGGACTTGGGCCATCTCCCACTGCTCTCCTAGGCCATAGCAGAGAGCTGGATTGGAAGTGGAGCAGCTGGGACTTGAACCAGCGCCCATATGGGATGCCGGTGCTCAGGCCAGGGTGTTAACCCACTGTGCCACAGCGCTGGCCCCTGCTTCCAGCTTTTGATCTGTTACAAACAAAGCTGCTATGGAATGTTCATTTACAACTCTTTTCATGGATACATGTTTCCACTCTTGAGTAAATACTGAGGATTAGAACTGCTGGGTCATATTATTGTGTATGTTTAATGTTTTAAGAAACTGTTGACCTGTTTTCCGAGGGAGTTGTATCATTTTACAATTCTACCAGCAACATATGAGAAGGAATTAGAGCTTTAACATTTTTAAAATATCTCGTGATCATGGCTTGAACACTCAGAGTATACGAGATGTGCAAGATCATGGGCAAGGGAAATGATCTGGGCATTTAAGGAGCCTGCATCTTATTAGCAAAATGTATGAAGGTACTTCAAAGAGCTCACAGAAAAATGAAATTAAATGATACTTATTTTGGTGCAAAATGTTTTGAAATCCATGCATCATTTTTCATAATATACGTTTTCTGTGAAATTTTAGAAGACTACCTTGAATGCATGGATTTCAAATTTTTTTGCTCCAAAATAAACATGTTTTAATTCCACTTTCCACAAACTGTTTGGAGTTCTCTGTACACATACTTCAAGAGCAGTGCACTGTACAGTGTGGCAGTGTCAAGTAGGAGGTCCAGATAATTAATTTGGGAGTAATCTCTGAACTGTCATGATGAAAAATGATTAGATGAGCAGGACTCTAGCTGAGATTATACAGAAAAGAGCCATAAGTACATTCATTCATTAGGTTAAAGTAACATACCATCCTGTAAGTATTCCTCTTCATGTGGCTATCAATACAGCCATCTACCTTCTAGAGGTATCTGTAGGTATCTTTATTAGTTGGTTATTGCTATGTATAAATCCATCCCCAAATGAGTGGCTTAACACAACAATCATTTATTCTTTCTCTTACGTCTGTGGGTCAGTGGGGGCAGTTTTGTGGACTTGGCTGAAACCCTGGTCTCAATTATGGGGCAGCTACTCCATGCTTCTTTTCACCATGATATAGGCTGGGGACTGCCACATTTTCTTGGACAAAGTCATCTCAAGGTCAATGCAGATACACAGGGTATGGAGTTGCAAAGTCACTGCTGTCGCTCCCCGTCTTCGTGGAGGAGCAACACAGGACCCTGCGCTGTTCTTTCGTCTGCTCGGCCCTCCCCGGGTTTGCTGCTGGTTCTTCCCGGGTTGGCTACTATCCCTTCCACCTCCGTGGAAGGGCAGTTCCCCCTGGCCACATTCCCCACTTCCGCAGGGGAGCGGCACACCGCCGGCCGGCTTTCTCGGGGGCTGCACGGGTGTTCCTTCAGCTAGATGTTCCCCATAGATGTTCCCGGTGCATGCCGTTTCTCTCCTCCTTTATAGTCCTCCTCCGCCAATCCCAACTCGGCTGAGTACGCTGCTCTCCAATCAGGAGCAAGTCCTACAGTTAATTGGTTGAACTGGAGGCAGCTGTGCGGAAGCTGTTTACTTCTCTCCCAGCGCCATATTGTGGGAGAGCAGATGCATAGAATAAGTCCTAATTCGAGCAACTCAGTCTAGTCCGGATTGCTCCCCACAGATCCCCCTTTCTTTTTATTTTTTGGCGTTGATACGCGCCTGTCTTCGGTGTCCCGCAGCACACACTCTGCTGTACTTGCTAGAGTTGCCACAGGCTCTTACAAGTCCTATCAATCAGGAAAACCGAATCCGGGTCCTCTCTTCGCCATTGTGAGGAGGTTTTTAGGCGCTGATGCGTGCCTGTGTTCGGTGCCCTGCAGCGCATGCTCTACTCTGCTAGAACTGCCTGCAGGTGTTTAAAAAACCTATCAGGCAAACCGAATCCAAGCCTTCTCATTGCCGTATTGTGGGGGAGACTTATTAGTGTTGGTTCGTGCCTATCTTCGGTGACCTGCAGCTCATACTCTGGTCGAGCTTTGCTGGCGCTTACCGCCTTAAATCAGGCAGACCGAATTCAAGCCTTCTAATTGGCATGTTGAGGGGAGGCCTTATTTTTCTCTATTTCTCTATCTCCGGGCATTCCTACCTCTCCCATTTCACTTCTATCTTCCAGCATTCCCATTTCTCTTTTACTTCTAAAACTTCTGTTTCTCTTATCCCCGCAGCTTCCCGGCACCTCGCCCCGCCGGCGGGTTCCCGGCTCTGCGCGCACGCTCCGCGGTCTCCACGCACTTCGCGCCCGCACCACGGCCTCGCGCCAACGCCCCGTGCTCTCTCTGCACGCGGCGGCTTCCGCGAATGTTTCCGCCACCACCGGCATTCAGTCCAAGTTCCCCGGACTAACCTGGCGAATTCTGGCGGCCCACGTCTCTGCCTCTGGTTCCAGATCTTCGCCTCTTGCTCCCCAGGGTGACTTGAAGAATTCCAAGATGGCTTGGCCTGCACTCGCGGCTTCATCCTCCCTAACATTTTTCTCTACCCGGTGTGTTTCCCTAAGTTTTCTTCCAACAATATTCCTCTCTCATTTCTCCTGGCCTCTCCCCACAGTCCGGAATCCAAGTCTAAGTTTCTTATAGGTTTCACTTTCACTTTCAACCTGCAGTCCGTATCTGAGTCTAAGTTTCTTCTTGCTTTCACTTTAAATCCTAACTTCTTTCTCACAGTCCGGATACGGAGTTCAAAGCAGCGCCTGGGTTTCAGTTTTCGCTTTTGGGGCTCACAAGCTTCCACCGGCAATAAACGCGAAATCCGGAGATCGACGAAGACTATATAATTATCGCTTTCAATATGCAAATGTATATTTACCCAGATACTATAGACGGAAAGCTGAGATCTATGGCTTTT